ATTGCTGAAGAGTTTGCATTCTGGACAATCGGGAAGAGCACGCGCCGACCGCGTGAGCAAGGAGTTCGACATCTTGCGCGGTACACTAAGCAAGGCGACCCGCTCAGCAGCTTGCTATTTAACGCAGTCCTGGAAGATATCTTTGCTGAGGTCAAGCCAGCCTGGGAAAATAAGTCTTGGATTGAGAATGGGTTGCAGCAAGTGCCGGCAGCTTACCAATCTACGCTTCGCAGATGATGTTTTGCTCATTGGAACGTCCTTACGTCAACTCAATATCATGTTAAATGATCTACAGAAGGCAGCCCAAAAACGTGGATTGATGCTCCACCCAGACAATGCGAAAATCTTGACGAACGCAACCAAAGGCAACGTGCGCCCAAGAACATCGCACGTGCAAGTCGGGGTCATGAACGTTGAGATCATGCCGTGCGAGGAGAAAACGAAGTACTTGGGAAGGTAGTTATGTTTTGATCGACCACACGACGTTGAAGTTGATCACCGGATCAACATGGCATGGAAGAGTTTTATGGCGCAGCGTGCAGAATTGGTAAATAATACGTATTCTCTGGATGTTCGTTTGAAGCTTTTTGAAGCCACGGTGCCCAACGTTCTCCTGCGCGGCAGTGCAACGTGGGTGCTGACGCAGGAGCTGACTGACAAGTTGCGCCGGGTGCAGCGGAAGATGCTGCGCATGATCCATGGTAGTCGTCGCCGGCCAGTGGCCGCATGTGTTCCAACTGCTTCCACGTCATCACCAGAATCCGCGTCATCATATGAGTCGGCATCTGATCGTGCTCTTGTTCTGGAACCGTGGGCAGAGTGGTGTCAGAGAGCCGCTCACGAGGTCGAGGAAAGATGCAGGCGACTCGGCGTTCGTGACTGGATTGAAAGCCACAAGTCTGCAGCAACACAATGGTGCAGAAAGATGCAAGAGGCGGTAGACAGCTGGGCTCACCGCGCATTCATATGGGGACCTCTTGGGCTGACGAGACGGTCGCACAGACCGAAAAAGAGGTGGATCGACACCGTGCTAACGTACATCTGAGGGCCGGAGCCGAGGCTCCGCCGCGCCTCCCGCGTAGGGGCGGCTTCCAGGCCGGTGGGCGCGTGTGTGTGTGTGTGTGTGTGTGCGTGTCGATCGTCGAGGAAAAGTTTGAAATTGTCAAACAACAAAAAATACTCAAACATGTTCAAGTCATGCAGTAAAATAGCCCCCATATTTTTTGGTTTTAAATTGTTTTGAATATTTATCCTGTAGCGGGACAGGCCCGACTTAACACTATCCCCGTCCCACTTCGTCATCATCCTGTCTCAGGGGGCGGGGATTTGCGTTCGATCCGTACTGCTGCTGCATCCCGCAACCGTGGCCGCCAAGGGGTTCAGGGAATTGATGAAAAACTTGACCTCCAGAGGCTTGGCTTTCGCCCATGCCTCCACTCCGAAGCCACGCGCCGTCTGGCGCATGGGCGGGCAGCCTACTCGGAGTGGGCTGTCAGGAGGAACCTGTCCTCTGGGACGGTCTTGTTAGACTTCAAGAAATTGTTTGAAGACATCAGGCACGGCGTTGTAGCGGAGGCGGCTCGGAAATCTGGCAGGCTGTTTGTCGGTCCGTATCGGTTGCCACGCGTGCTTAAGTATGCCGGAGTGTGTTCGCAGCCGATTTCCACTCTGCAAGCGGCTGCAGGATGCCAGTTCGCCACTCTCTGTCAGCAAACGGTGTTTCTCAGTCCCTTGGACAAGGTGGAGACCGAGCGCGGGGTTGAGATCGGAGTTGTGGTTGGCGATTTGGGGTTGCACAAAGTTGTCTCGCAGGACCGAGTGTTCGAATTTCAGGCTACGAAGGTGCTGCGCGATGAGTGAGCTGCTATTAACCTCCCGGTCAGTCTCTCCAAGAGCAGGGCGCTCGCGTCCAATCCCATCCTGCGTGCCAGGCTTGCTGGTGCGCTGCGGTCCTGTCGCATCCTGCCTGCTCAGTCGGAACGGAGTTTTGTGGTTGGATTACGCGGCGGGGGGGGGGTCATCAAATGTGCTGCTTAGAGAACGCGCAGGAAGGAGGCGGCTCGCGTTCGGCACGGCAGGATTTTATGTTTTAGTTCCAAGCTGTGCAAGCGGCATGCGCACCACATGGTCAGGGCTGCCGTCCAGGCCTTCACCTCTTACGGCTCGGGGGTGGTGGGCGCCCCTAACGCTGAGCTGCGAGAGGTCAGGTTTTTGCAGGCCTCTGTCCAGGGCTAGAAGCTAGCTGGCCGCAGTATCACACTCATGTTGTAAGCTAGCAGGGCTCAAGCAGGTCGACCCAGTTGATTCCCTCAACGCCACCCCTCTCTTGCATCTCGCCTCGGCCGTCTGGAAGCCCTGGGTCCCGAGGGGCGTCATGGAGGTCAGGCTTCGAGGAGCCTGGGCTTTGCTTTCTGGGCACAACTCGCCGTGGGAAGCTCCGGGCCCCTTAAATAAACCTCAGGACTGAGGACTGGGGCTTCGGGGATTTAGGCCGACGACCCGAGGGCACTCCAACTCGTGCCTTAGGGCATGGTAGCGGATTTGCAAGGCAAGAGCTGGATTTTGTTGACGGAGCCCCGGAGACTATGGGATTTGGTTCAATGCGGCCAGGCTGCCAGGCCAGCGTGTGTAGGGGAGGGGCGCCCCATCGCTGGCCCTAACCTGGGTGGGTCGCGCAAAAAGCTCTCGCTCTGAGGTCCCCCCTCTCTCGATTTTGTTTTTGCTAGGACTGAGAGACCTTTGGCCCTTCTTCTTCTTCTGATGCTCACGCAGGAGGAGGAGGAAGAGGATTTGGAGGATGAGGATGAGGAAGAGGAGGCGTGGCAATTGAAGAGGAGGAGGAGGAGGAGTTTGACGCCACGAGCAATTCGTCCGCTCAGCGGCCCGCCTAAGGAAAGGAGGAGGAGGAGTACATCATAATACGACGAATAGTAGTAGTAGTAGTAGTAGTAGTAGTAGTAGTAGTAGTAGTAGTAGTAGTAGTAGTAAGCATATAAAAATATGAATAGGAATACTACGACGAATGCGAATACTAATGCGAACAGTGCTAATCATAATGTGAATCGGAAGAATAACACGAACAATGATAAGACGCCGACCAGTAATAATACAGAGAACAAGCCTCATACTGACACTAAGACAAATAACACGAACAATGAGAACAACGAGAGGATTTCGAAGAAGACGAATAACAATAATAAAACGAATAATAATGATATTGCTAATGCTAGTAATGCAGAACATCATAACATTAGTAGTAATGTGAATAATGAGAGTATTACGACTTGATACTACAAATCAGACTAATTCGGCGAAAACATAGAAAAAGACGGCGATCACGACGAACACTAAAACTAAAACGACACATATTACTAAAAACAATAGTTATCATAATGGTAATAATCGGAGGTTGGGGGGTGAGATCGAAGTGGAACGGAGAGCCCCCCTACCGGGAAATCGATTTCGGTTTCGTGTTCGTGCGTGCCGTGCGGGCGAGGCGAAGCTGCGTGGGCGGGCGAGAGAAAGTCTCCTGTGGCTGAGGCGCGGCCGGACCAAATGTCTCCCTTCCGGCGGCCGGTGGCCCGCGGTGTCCCGCCGGTGTCCCGCTGGTGTCCCGTGTGGCTGAGGCGCGGCCGGACCAAATGTCTCCCTTCCGGGCGGCCGGTGGCCCGCGGTGTCCCGCCGGTGTCCCGCTGGTGTCCCGCGGTGTCCCGCGGTGTCCCGCGGTGTCCCGCGGTGTCCCGCCAGTGTCCCGCGGTGTGCGAGGATGATGATGCTGATGATGATGATGATGATGATGATGGTGGTGATGATGATGATGGTGATGCTGATGGTGTCCCGATGATGATGATAATGATAATGACGATGTTGATGATGATGTTGCTCATGATGATGATGGTGCCCCAATGATGATGTTGTTGATGACGATGATGTCGATGATGATGATGATGATGATGATGATGATGATGATGATGATGATGATGCGATGATCATGATGATGGTGTCCCGAGGATGATGACGATGTTGATGATAATGTTGATGATGAGAACGATGGTGATCATGATGGTGTCCCGATTATGATGATGATTCAGATGATGCTGCTGATGATGATGACGATGACTGTGTCCCGATGATGATGATGATGATGATGATGATGATGATGATGTTGATGATGAGATGATGATGGTGGTGATGATGATGATGATGATGATGATGATGATGATGATGATGTTGTCCCGATGATGATGCTGACGTTGATGATGATGTTTATGATGATGATGATGATGATGATGATGATGATGATGATGATGATGATGATGATGATGATGATGATGTTGATGTTGATGTTGATGATGTTGATGATGATGATGATGATGATGATGATGATGATGATGATGACGTTGATTGTGAGAGCGATTGTGATATCGATTGTGAGATCGATATTGAGACCGAGTGTGAGATCGATTGTGTGATCGATTGTGAGATCGATTGTGAGATCAATTGTGAGATCGATCGAATGAGATAGATCGAGTGAGATCGATTGTGAGATCGATCGAGTGAGATCGATCGAGCGAGACCGTTAGTGAGATCGATACTGAGGTCGATAGTGAGACCGATCGAGTGAGACGTTGGGTCCCCCCCCCGAACCTCCTTATCACCCGAAGGGTGGTCGTATAGGTACGAGTTATACTACAACTACTACGAATCATTACACTAAGCACAGTAATGAGAGTAACAAGAAGAGGAGGAGGCAGAGGAGGAGGAGGAGGAGGAGGAGGAGGAGGAGGAGGAGGAGGAGGATTTGGAGGAGGAAGAGGAGAAGGAGGAGGAGGAGGAGGAGGAGGAGGAGGCGGAGGCGGAGGCGGAGGCGGAGGCGGAGGAGGAGAGGCGCAGGAGGCGGAGGCGGAGGAGAAGGAGGAGGAGGAGGAGGAGGAGAAGCAGGAGCACTGATACCACGTTGATCGCCCTTTAGGGGGTTGGCGCCCCGACGCGTCACGGAGGCCGCAGGCGCCGAGCTGGGCGAGGGCCAGGACCCGTTGCTTACGGCGCAGGCCACGTGGCGCGACGGCCTCCGCGCGTGAGACCGCGCGTGCGCGGCGCGCGCGCGCCGCCTCGGCGGCGCCCCTGCGGCAAGTGGCACGCCCCAGCGGCGGCGTCGCGGAGGGTCGGCGCGGCGGCGGCGGGGCGCGCGCTGCTGGCGGCGAGGTCGCGCGAAGGCGGCGACCGCTTGCGAACCCTGCCCTGCGGGTCCACTTATCGCTGGGGCAGCTCGAGGGAGGGCGAAATCTGACATGACGGTCGTTGGCTTTGGGGGGGGGCCTTCGTCGCCACGGCTGGAAGCAGCAGCTCGGAAAAATGGTCCGTTGGGACCACTGGTTAGGTTTGGGGACCGATTTTGTGCGTGTTTGCCTGCGTCTCCCCCGCTTGACAGATTTTCTCGGGGCCCATCCAGCACTGATCGCCACCCTGCCCTTGTTTTTGCCTTCTTGGACCTGGGAGGCCCTCGTCGCCATGGCTGGATTCGCCTTGAGAGACGCACCGGGGGAGGTCCGGGGAGTAGCGTTAATGGTATTGGTATCGTTTTGGTTTCCCTAAGCCTTACTCCTGCGGTTCAATCGACGCTCGGGTATTGGACACTCCCGTTGGGGTTGACTTAGCTGCAGACACCTTTCATCCTTCAGATTATGGCCTTCCGCTGGTGTCTCTCTCAGAGATTTGGCCCGCAGGGTCAGGGTTAACACGTGGTTGCCGCGCGGAGGCGGCGATCCTCGTGAGACGGGCCTTGAGCCAGGGGGAACGACAGGGGTGGGGAAGATCAGCTTAAGGGGAAACGCATCGACCCCGCCCAAGAGCTTTCGGTTTGGCCATCGTGGGCCTGCCGCCGACCTATCGGCGATGCATAGCCGGCTCAGTCCCGCCCCTAACGTTTCCTTTCGCCTGATCGAGCGGGGCTGGGACAGGGATAAATCGTTCCAGAGCGTTCCAGCACGCTCTCATAGCTTTCCGGAACGCTCTGAGAGGGCCGTGGCGTTCGATACATCATCCAGAACCGCCAGCGCTCAGGGATCCCCGATGCATCACTATTCGTTTTTGTCCCTGTCCTGGCTTCGCCTGACCAGGGGGCAGCGTGGCACGACGTCGCCGACGCCTCGCCGCTGTGTCGGCGACGCGTCGGTGCTGTGGCGTGGTCCTCTGCTCGCACCCCGCCCTGGAGGCCTCCGCCTCGCAAATTTATATTGCCATAGTTTTTCTACTGGTTGATTCTTCGCCAGTTGTTGTTTCTGCATTTTTTTTTTTTTTTAAATTTGAGTATCTCTTTTCATTGGTAGAGGCGCACCGCCCCCGCTGCGCACCTGGCGCCGTGGGGCAGGCTCGCTTCGGGACTCGGCCCTCGGCCCTCGGGCGGACGAGGCAGTGGGGCCCTCGGCGGGGCCTGTAGGGCCGGCCGAGAACGGCTCGGGCCTCCCCTGGCTTCGGGTCGGAGAGAGGGCGTCCGAGGCCAAAAGTTTTCGGACGTCTTCGTCGGCGCTCCGTGGTTCTCCAGCCTCGGGATGCGTTCCAGCAGCTGCCGTCGGCACTGCGCCCCGCCAAGAGCGTTCCGGGGGTGCCCGGATCGTCCCGATCAGCCGCCAGAGTCCCGAGTGATGACCCCAAAACCACCAGGTGCTGCAGGTGTCGGGGCCCCCCAAACGGTGCGGTGACCACACCGTATGGTGAGTCGGTGGGGATTCGTGGTGGCCGCACAGTTTTGGGGCTCGAGTTGTTCTCCGAGAACTCCTCTGACGATTGGGACCTCCAGGGTCCCAAAGCCGTGCGGTGACGGACCCTGTGGCGAGGCCTTCTGGGATTCCGAGGTCACCGCACGGTCTGTAGGCGGAGGCGATCTGCCCGCCCGTGCCGCGGCGGCCGAGCTGCGCGAATCGAAGAAGAAACATCTACATGAGCATGCAGTCAAGACGCTGAAACAAGGGGTTCTTCGGTCTCTGGAGGGGCTGTGGCTTTCGGGTTGTTCCTCTGATCTAGGTTTTGGAGCCCGATCGTGGGAAGCCCCCTCGTTCCTTGGCCAGCGTTCCTCATCGTAACACGATGGCTGTGCACTTTCGGGGATCCGCGCAGTCTTCTCGGTCGGCGCTGGACAGGGGCGGCGCCAGAGATGCGGCCAGGGGTGTCCAGCGCCGATCGAAGAAATCTCCGCGCAGACCTCTTGAAACATAGGCTTGTGCAGACTTTTCTCCTTCGTACACCGCCAGCAGTCAGCAGCTGCAGCTGCTGGAGTCATGCTCTGGATCCCCCGGGAACGGTGGATATTGATGCTCTCCCTCTCTCGGGGGCAGGCAGATAGAGTCGAGGCTGGTTAGTAGGTCGACCCTGCCGAATCAAGGGTACCCCTGTGTCCTGTGCTTCGCGACTCACACCTTCCGCAGTCCCATGGCAATGCGGCCCTCGGAAGGCTCTCGTGCCCTCTCGCGTGTCCTCTCCAGTCAACCCCGAGTGCGTCCACGGCCCATCACTCATCGGGACGCCCTCGAGAGCCCAGGGCACGCCTCCGAGGCGGCGGATCTGGACACCTCCTGGCGGTGGACTGCTCCCCAGAGCCGCGCGAAAAGGCGGCGAGTAGCCCGCGGCGCCCCGGCCCCGCGGCATGGCGGCGCTCGCGCCGCCCCTCGGCAGTGAGCCGCGTGGCGGCGTGGCGCCGCCCGCGCTGCCCGCCGCGGCCGCGCACCTGTCGGAGGCCTGGGATGCGGCACGGACCGACGCCAACGTCGGCGGCTGCCTCCACCGAGAGGGAGCCGATCCCGACCTCGGGCGGCCGACAGGCTTCCGCCACTACACCTTAGGCGATGGTTAAGAAAACCCAAGTTTTCGGTCAGGGTCTCGATTATTCTTAATGTTTCCATGTACATCCTAAGATTTCGATGGGAATTCTGGGCTTCTACTCAAGTTCTGAGACTATGAGTTTCTTAACCCATGATTTCTAAAGAAATTTCGCAGGGTGTACAGACGTCTGAGCTCACCGTCCCCCGGTGGAGGCAGCCCCCTGGTTTTGGTGTTGGTGCCAGCTCGTGGGCCTCCAGCTCTGCCCCCTTGTGAGCCGGCGGGCGCCGGCGACCCAGAGCCGCCCCCAAGAGCGGGAGGAGGGCCGGTCGAGACAGCGGCGGCCGTCCCCGGCGTTGGTCGTCCTTCGTGGGCCTCCCGGAGGCTGCTCGTCGCAGTGGCCGGCTGCGCGTCGAGAAGCAGGTCAGGTCAGGCCCCGTCAGGGGCAGCAGTAGGGCGGGATGGGCATACGGTCCTGGTCCTGTTCTGAGCGTCGCTGAGTGCTCCGCGCTTAGCGTGTATCCTGCGTGGTTGGTACTCAACGTGTATATCGGAGGGCTGTTTCACCCGACCCTAGTTAGCGTGTGCGCCCTTGCGCTGCTTAGCGTGTCAACGGCTTTGGTTTCGCAGGGCCCGAACTCACATACATGCTAAGAATAGGACCATGACCGCAGGGGGGATGCATCAACCCCCAATCGCCCAGTGATCGCCGGCATGGGTCTGACAGCCCCACCCTTTGCCCAGTAACGAGCGCATTTGCTATCGGGGGCCTGTCGCCGATCTATCGGCGATGTATCGCCGATTCAAGGTCGATGTTCCACCCCTTTGCCAGTCCCCCCCTTTCGTTGCCCCTCATCCCAGGGGGGGCTCTGGGGACCTGGGGACCGATTCTGAGTGGATTTGGGCCAGGCGGGAGAGCCGTCGTTGTCTCAGCTGGCCCTCCTCCGAGAGACGGCCACAGGGAACTGGAAGTCTGTGTCACCGCTTAGGCTTAGATATGAGTCGGGGGCGTCGAAGAGTGGGTCAAAGGCTGGGGGGGGCAGCACGGTAGGGGCCACGCCATCCTCCCGATGTCACGACCCCCTCTTCGGCGCACCCGAATGATGCTGCAGTTCTGCTTCCGCTGTGGCTGCTTCAATTCGCACGTATGTCCCAGCTGGGGTTGTCGCCTGGATGCTGTGTGGTAGTTGTCTTGCTGAGACACCGTGGAGCAAATCGCTGCACCCTCACGCCTGGCGAGTGAAATGGGCATGCCGTGACGCCCGCGACCTGCCGGGCGCTGCGGGGCGTGGCAGAGGCGAGGACGCAGACGACGCAGGGCGGCACAACGAGGGAAGCGAGGACTCACGGAACGGAGCGGGGAAGTGGCATGGCCGATTGCCGTGGCCATTTTTTGGGGTTTTGGTGTGGAGGTGGGTCGAATCCCGATCTCGCCAAGTCGATCAGCGTTTTGTTTTTTTTTCTCGGGAGGGTGTTGCGCCAGCAATTTTTGCGGGCCCCTGCCCGCCAGGGTTTCCCGATGGGTTTCCCGATGGTTGTCCCGATGGGCGCCCCGATGGTTGCACCGATTGTTGTCCCGATGTTTGTCCCGATGGTTGTCGCACTGGTTGCCCCGATGTTTGCCCCGACGGTTGTCCTAGCGGTTGTCCCGATGATTGCCCCGATTGGTTGTCCCGATGGTTGTCCCGATGGTTGTCCCGATGGTTGTCCCGACGGTCGCCCGGATGGTTGTCCCGATGAGTGTCCCGATGGGTTTCCGATGGTTGTCCGATGGTTGTTTCGATGGGTGCCCCGATGGTTGACCCGATGTTTGCCCCGATGGTTTGCCCGATGGTATCCCGATGGTGGGTTCCTGGGGGTGGATGCAGAAGTTCCTGGTTTGTCCCGATTGTTGTCCAGATGGTTGTCCCGATGGTTTATCCGATGGTTGTCCCGATGGGTGTCCAGATGGTTGTCCTGATGTTCTGCTCGATGGGTTTCCCGACTGTTGTCCCGATGGTTGTCCCGACGGTTGTCCCGATGGTTGTCCCGATGGTTGTCCCGATGGTTGTCCCGATGGATAGTGGTGGCCCCGATGGTTGCCCCGATGGTTGCGTCCCGATGGTTGTCCCGATGTGTTTATATATTTGTATTTACACACACATATATATATCTCTCCGTAAGGGCTTCGCCCCCTGCCGCCGGCCCCCTCTCTCGGAGAATGGGCCATGGAAGAGCTAAGTCATGAGGCCTTGGCGCTGTCGTGAAGCAGTATCGAAACTTCATGCGAAGCCGATTCGCAATCAGCAAAACCAACTGATCACAAGAGGGGTTACCACACCTGGCGATTGGTAAGACGTGTATGGTTTACGGGCTTGGTTACCACACCTTGCGATTAAAGGGCCGAGGGAGTTCTCGCAGTTTGGGTTACCACGCCTTGCGATGGATGTGCGTGAAGGGTGGCACCGAATTTCAGAAATGTGGTAAATCCCCTGTGTTTTTGGACCCTGACCCCGCGGATCTGCGTAAGGGGTGGAGCCGAATTTCAGAAATGTGGCAACTCCCATGTGTTTTTGGACCCTGACCCCGCGGATCTGCGTGAGGGGTGGCACCGAATTTCAGAAATGTGGCAAATCCCATGTGTTTTTGGACCCTGACCCCGCGGATCTGCGTGAGGGGTGGCACCGAATTTCAGAAATGTGGCAAATCCCATGTGTTTTTGGACCCTGACCCCGCGGATCTGCGTGAGGGGTGGCACCGAATTTCAGAAATGTGGCAAATCCCCTGTGTTTTTGGACCCTGACCCCGCGGATCTGCGTGAGGGGTGGCACCGAATTTCAGAAATGTGGCAAATCCCCTGTGTTTTTGGACCCTGACCCCGCGGATCTGCGTGAGGGGTGGCACCGAATTTCAGAAATGTGGCAAATCCCATGTGTTTTTGGACCCTGACCCCGCGGATCTGCGTGAGGGGTGGCACCGAATTTCAGAAATGTGGCAAATCCCCTGTGTTTTTGGACCCTGACCCCGCGGATCTGCGTGAGGGGTGTCGATTTCGAGCCCCCCCAGCAATTCAGACAACGCGCCCAGGGGACGCTAAAAAGCCACTTTGGGCCTCCCCCCCCCTCGCGCGGTCAATCAACTAGTTACAGTAACCAGCAATAAGTCAACTAGTTACAGTAACCAGCAAGAAGCAGAACTGTAACACTGGAAACTACAACCTACGACTGGTACAGGAAACTGCGAATCACGGGCCTACAGCCTGGTGGCCCCACAAGGGGGCCGGCGGATATATATATATATATATATATATATATATATATATCGATGCATCGATGATTTCAGATTTGTTTTTCCAAGGGTCGTCCCGATGTGTGTCCCGATGGCTATATATTTACTCATCTATCTATATATATATATCTATCTATCTATCTATCTATCTATCTATCTATCTATCTATCTATCTATCTATCTATATATCTCTATATCTATCCATCCATCCATCTATCTGTCTATCTATCTATCTATCTACCTACCTATCTATCTCTATATATATGCATATGTATATAGAAGAGTGTATGTTGATTGATGAACAGGCTGATCGAATTCGATGCTGATGCATTGATATTTGTACATCCATGGAATGTTATTTCATCGCTTCGCTCATTCCGCCGGCCCTGGAGCCCTCTTTACGGCCTCTTGGGGGCCTCTTGGGGACCTCTTTGGAGTCTCTTGGGGCTCCTTGGCGGCGTCTTGGGAGCCCCCAGGGCCTCTTGGGGGGCTCTTGGGGGCCTCTTGGGGCGGGAGGGGGGGTAGTCGATTTGCGGCTCCCCTATCGGAGGCCACGATCTTCGTGAGGGGTGTCGAAGAATTGCCCGGTCCGGCATCTCTGACCCTGACCTGCCAGGACCTTGCCAGGACCTTGACGGGATTTTTCCGGGGTATTTTTCGCCCGGAGACCCCCAGGGGCCGCCCCGCGTGCGCGAAGTAGAATATTGTTAACCAGTTACCGGAGATCTTAGCACGGCTCTGGCCCGTTGGGCCGGCGAATTTTATATCGGTACTTTGGTAGATAGGTCGATATATCGATGAACAGAGGTGCGCGACAATAGGAAACCGCCTCCCCTTTCCCCCCCATCCTTCTTATCACCCGTAGGGTGGTCCTATCGGTATCTACTAAACGACTATTGTGGTTATGCGCCCTCTATATTCGCACTGGCGCTTTCGCCTCGGCGCCGCCTGCATTTCCTGTGATGAAGTGAAGCTCGCGCTCCAGCGTTTCGGGGTTTCGCCGAAACCGCCCCCCCAAACAGCAACACCAACGCTCTCGCTCGAGGTGCCCTCGCTCTGGCCCCCTGCCCCCCCAGTGGCTGCCCCGCGTCGCATTGAGGGACCGCGGGCTGCCGCCGTGGCCCCAGGCTCGCGTCGACCTCGCCCGCATCGCAGCGACGGTGAGATTCGCATCTCGGAGGGGTCCCCTGTTTGGCCTCCAGGGGCCTGCTGCCCGTCTCCGAGGCTTTCACTGCGGGTCTGGTGTTCCGAGTTTTTGTTTGATACTCGGGCCTCGGAGAGCCTCGGGAAGAGTCCTGGGATGTCCCACCAGTCTGGGCCTCTTTGGGCGGGGACGTCGGAGGCTTCGTCGGGCGGTGTGCGGACGGTACTGGTCTTCGTCGTCGTCGTCAACATGGTAGCCCAGACCCTGATCCTTGATATTCGACGCTGGATCAACGATACTCGACGGTCATGTGCCGCCTGAGCTGGAAATGGTAAAGAGCCTCGTGGGAGGTGTTGGCGAAACATTTCCGGTTGGGGGATCTGGGTGAGGAAATATCGAGTTAACATCGCCTCTTGAGACCCTCTTTGGGCGCTCTTGGGCCGCTCTTGGGCACTCTTCAGGCCGTCTTGAGGGCCTCTTGGGCCCCTCTGTTGGGCCATTTTGAGGCCTCAAGAATGTCTTGGAACCGTCTTGTGGCCCTTGTCGGGCTTCTTGGAGTGAGGCCATTTTGGAGCATCGGACGCCCTTTTGGAACCATACTGGGCCATCTTGGGCGCCCTGGCACCTCGCGGATCTCCCTAAAAACCTCACGGAAGGAAGGGGGAGGGTCCCCTTCACGAAGGGAGGAGGGTTTTGGATGAGAAAATGAGGATATGATTTTGTTACCTAAGCCCAAGGGCCTGGTGGGATTCCACCATGGAGGGGGGATCTATCATGATCGATGCATGTTGCGCGTGAAATCGTCGAACACTTAGGTTAAACAACTAAGCAGTTGCGTTCACAGTAATAAGTATTGTTGACCTCCCCCCTCTGTCAGACGTTTTTCAGTGCCGAGTCTCGACGCAGTGCTCGAACTGATGGGGTTCTTACTTGTGTTATCTAAGCCGGGGACTTTCGACGTTGCTCTCCCGTGCCGTTTCGTGTGCGCTCGTAGGTGCCCCGTGCGTTGGGTGGGTTGGCCAAGGTTTCGCCACGTTGCGCCTGTGCCCCCTCGTGTTGTCGCTCGCGGGCGCCCCGTGGGCTGAGCTTTCATCACGCAGCTTGCGGAGCAGGAGCTGAGAAGGTCTCGATGACCACTCCCGGTGCACTAGAGCAGTGCCGCCGCCGGCGGAAGAAGCAAGAATGGTAAGTAACCGCGTCATCGTGCACCAGCCGTGCCCCGCAGCAGCGTAGAGCCCGGCCGCCCCCAAAAGCAGCGACGTCACGTAGAAGAAAGACAAGCAATGCTGGTAGGCCCTAGGGGGCCACGGTGCCTTCGACGAGGCCGGTACGGCAGGCTCCGCCCCTCGCGAGGAGCCGTGCCGCCGCGGCCGACGACGCACAGCATCGTGCAGCGAAGTGGTAGAATCAGTCAATGTTCATCGCCCATACGCCCTCGAAGTCCGAAGTTCACCCCCTCCATTTTCTCCACCTCTTTCCCGATGACAAAGTGTATGAGAAAGGACCTGAGATACTGTAGATGAACGTGAGGGTGTGCGCAGTGAAGTCGTCGCACTGGTAGGAGTCGTAGCGAAGATGACGGGGGCCACCTGTGACAATTGTTGCCCGGGCAACCCTGTCGACTGTCGACCAAAAGACGATACGTGCCCTGACACCCTCGTGTCCTGACCGATGTAATACATGGCGCAGTTGATGGAGGGACTGGCGCCAGCCAGCATCCAGGACGATACACCAACCGGCCGCGTGTCGAAAGTGGCCTCCGCGGTCTCGCTGGAGATGCAGTGCACGCTGAAGAAGAGGACCACGACCCA